TTCCAGGAAAATCTGCTTCTTGGTGTGCCGCTCCTCGGAGTCGGAGGACCGCCTCTTGTGGCAAGCCCTGCCCCGGCCCGGCTCGTCCTCGGAGGCCAGGCCGTTGACGGGAGGGAAGAGCGAGTCTTGGGCGCTAGAGAACACGGAGTCCATTTGTTTCGTGTCCACCCTCAGCCCCGTGGCCGCGCTGGGTGCGCCCGCCGTCGGTTCAGGCTCTCGGACCTCAATGACGTCATCGTCTCCCGCCTCAAACAGGGTGTCCTCCCCCAGCGTGAGCGCCAACAGCTCCTTCTTCAGGGGCGTGGGCAGGATCAGCAAGTCCATGGTGTAGTTGTCGGCGCGTGCCTCCACGACCTGCCGGAACTCCCTCTTCACCTCCGACTCCTTCTGGCAGCCGGGCAGGCTCTCGCGGCTCTCGAAGAGCTTCACGAACTGCTGGACATGGCTGCGGGCCATGACCACGGCCTCGGCGCTGCCGCGGATGCCCAGCAGCCCCACGTCCAGCACGCAGAGGTCGGCGCAGGTGTCCTGGATCAGGCTCTTGAGGAACAGGCCCTGCGCGCCCACGAAGATGCAGTGCATGGCCTTGGGGTAGTGCTCGCGCTCCTCCAGCTCCGGCTCGCAGACGCCTTTGATGTACTCCTGCAAGAGAGGAGAGGGTCAGCTCACAGCGGCTCCTCCGCACACAGACGGGCCGTGCACAAGGGGAAAGCAGGCCCATACCTGCGGACAGGGCGTGATTCAAACAAAAGGTTTAAAGTAACCGGCGTGAGCCCGGCCGAGTGGCTCAGTGGTTGAGCGTCGACCTAGGAACCAGGAGGTCAGGGTTCGATTCCCGGTCAGGGCACAGGCCCGGGTTGTGGGCTCGATCCCCAGTAGCGGGTGTGCAGGAGGCAGCCGATCCAGGATTCTCTCTCATCATTGATGTTTCTCTCTCTTACTCCCTCTCCCTTCCTCTCTGAAACCAATAAAAATATATATATTTTTTAAAAGAAATAGCAGATTGTTTAATATTTAGGTAACCATCTGAACAAGAAGCTAAAACCAGTAAAGTGTAGTTGCCCCTAGAGGTTGGGGGGCAGCAGCGAAACCTCGGAGCCACCTGACGCTCGTTTGCACCCGGGGAACACCTTCTAATTTTAACAAGAAGTGAGCGAGGAGACCACGGCATTCCCGATGCTGCCGCGGTGACAGCTGGGGCCCCGACCTCAAGTTCTGCCCATTCTTGTTTGAGGTGAGGCACCCCGGCAGCTATGAAATACCGGGTGATGCATCTTTGAGGCAATTATTTTCTCCTATTTCTGTTGCTTTTCTGGATGAGTGTCATTGAAGAGTATTCTGCAAGAAGATCTGTCCAAAGACTAGTACATCTGTAGCTAATTAACTGTACAGTTTAGGACGCCCTGGATCCTACACAACCGCAGAAAACGTAACATTAAACTGGATGCTGAGGCAGACAGGTAACTGCACAGATGAGTGGAAAACCCCGACTTTGAGTTAAAAAAAAAAAAGACTTTATTTTTTAAAGCAGCTTTAGGTTCAGGGCAGAATTGAGCAGGTACAGAGATTTCCCACATGATCATCACAGAAGTCCCCGTTTCTATCACCTTCAGTCAATGTTCTACCTTTGAACCCACAGAAAATACCCTGAAACTGTCGATCGGATCTGTTATTTACAAACACTTTACGGAGCTTCTACAATCCTTTCCAGCAAGTGATGCTCTCTGGGATGCATCCAGATACATACTATTTAGATTATTGTCTTTCGGAGAAAAAATAATCAAGTTAATGCTGGATCCCTAAGAGCCATGGCTGTGGGGGGCAGGCACAGGGGGGCTGGCAGAGAAACCCACGCAGAGGAGCTGTCTGGCGTCGCCCCCGACAACCAAGACCATGGCTGCAATGCCAGCCGCAGAGTTGTTGTTGTTGTTGTGTGTGTGTGTGTGTGTGTGTGTGTGTGTGTGTTTAATATGTTTTTATTGACTTTGTTTTTAGAGAGAGGAGGGGAGAGAGACAGAAACATCAGTGAGAGAGGGACACCGCTGATTGGCTGCCTGCTGCACGGCCCGACTGGGGATCGAGCCTGCAAACGAGGTACATGCCCTCGACCTGAACCGAACCTGGGGCCCTGAAGTCTGCAGGCTGGCGCTCTAACCACTGAGCACACCGGTCAGGGCCAACGGCATAGTTTTTTTTTTAAAAGATACTTTTATTATTTCAGAGAGGAAGGGAGAGGGAGAGATAGAAACATCAATGATGAGAGAGAATCATTGATCGGCTGCCTCCTGCACACCCCCTACTGGGGATCGAGCATGCAACCTGGGCATGTGCCCTTGACTGGAATTGAGCCTGGGACCCCTCAGTCCGCAGGCTGACGCTCTATCCACTGAGCCAAACCAGATAGGGCGAACAGCACAGTTTTGAGGAGTTGTGTGTGTGTGTGTGCGCGCACGCATGCCCCAAAAGACATGAGTAATTTGTCCCTTCAGAATTACTCAATTTTTTTCATTAATAATTGACTCTTGAGAATTACTAAGTAACAACAATTGATTTTTATACTCAAGTTCAGAGGTGAGTAATAAAGTATACAGTATTATTCCAATCTAGGAGACGTCTGGCCGTCACGTGGATGGATGAGAAAGATTCTGTGGACCCAAATAGCCATCCTCTGCATTTGGCTGCATTTGCTATCTGAACATTTGAATGTTAGTCAAAAACTGTCTCCCCATCCTGCAATATTCATATCGTGTTTTAAAAAATCTTTATTGTTGCCCTAACCGGTTTGGCTCAGTGGATAGAGCGTCGGCCTGCGGACTGAAGGGTCCCAGGTTCGATTCCGGTCAGGGGCATGTACCTTGGTTGCAGGCACATCCCCAGTGGGGGGTGTGCAGGAGGCAGCTGATCGATGTTTCTCTCTCATCGATGTTTCTAACTCTCTATCCCTCTCCCTTCCTCTCTGTAAAAATCAATAAAATATATTAAATAAATAAATAAATAAATAAATAATAAAAATCCTTATTGTTGAAAGTGTTACATATCCTCCTTCCCCCCATTGACCTCTGCTAGCCCTCCCACCCTCCACCCAGGCGCTCACCGCCCTACTATCTGTGCCCATGGGTTATTGTTGTTGTTTTTTAAATTGATTTTAGAAAGAGAAAGGGAGGGAGGGAGGGAGAGAGAGAAACATCAATGTGAGAGAGAAACATTGATCGGTTGCCTCCCATCAGGGACTGAACCCGAAACCTGGGCATGTGCCCTGGCCGGGAGCGGAGCCCACCACCATTCCCTGTACGGGATGATGCTCCGCCCACTGAGACACACCGGCCAGGGCTTCCTGTTGTTTACATTACTCAGGCGTTTAAAGAAAAAAGGGGGGGCATATAACACATATCACAGCCTCCCTTTCATGTGCAAGATGAGTCTCTATCAGACCACCCTCTACAGTCTCAGTTCTTCTCAACTCGCACGTCGTGTCACGAACCTGGAGGGACTGGAGCTAGGACCAGGGGGACCCACGGGGCCGTTGGAGAGCCTGCAGGCTGCCTCAGCACCCTCCCATCACCTCCCACCTCCTCCCACCCCCTCCCACCCCCTCCCACCACCTCCTCCCACCTCCCACCTCTG